GAGGCCGTCACAGAACGTTTTAATTTCCTTGAACAGTCTTATAAAACATTAATCGAACATATATTTTTGAGTCTCTCTCCTTCCCAAGCAGAGCAGAATTATTCCAACCCCCTTTTAAAATGGTAGTATTTTAAAAATACGTTGCAGTTGCAGCTTTATAGACCGGTATTTCCACTAAAACAGCAGGGACAGAATTGCTGTGGTGTTAAAGAGAGTGAAATATAAGGGGATGGAAAGATTTTTATTCCTTTCCTACAACTAGCTGAGAACTGCAGCACGTTCGTAGCCAAATGCCTTATGTAAGAGGGTGGGAAACACGCATCGAGGTGGGGAGGAGGGAAATTATTTATATTGTGGTGCTGACATCGAAAGCGAACATAAATTATATTGTAATCCACCCCTTTTGATTTCCGAATGCGAATGTGTGATGTATAGGCTTCTTGAGCATCTTAGTATATTTCAGTTGTAAATGTCACTTCATTCGATAGTTTTTGGTACCCTGATCTATAAATGTAGTGAAATAAATCTCATCATCTGCTCTAGGGATGATGGGAGAAAAAACTCACAGCCATGACTTTTTGTACGGGGAATTTCTGCACCCAAATTGTAAGCGTTGGGATTGATTGATATGGGTTAACTTTGTTTTTAAAAAGTAACCCAGATAGATGCGCCTTCGCCTTTAAATGATTATGTTTGTTATTAACAATGTGCAGGATGGGAACAATCCCGCCTTGATTTTGTCCTGTTGAGAGGAAAGTTTTTAAGGGATATGTTAGTCTGGAGGTGAAGGAGGGGGGCATAAATCAGAGATGAGTACAAAAGATAGATTAGGGAAAGAAATGATAACTTTACTGCCATAAAGAATCTCTAAAACTTAAGCCTGATTCTCATTTCATTGGTGTAACTCAATTCACTTCAAAGGAGTTACTCCTGATATACCAAGTGTAAGTGAGCTCAGAATTAGCCCCCTCAAATGCTAGGACCTTATTTTCTTGGTTGCTCAGTGCTTCTTCCAACAGCTGAACTGCCCCGGTAGGGAAAAAGAAAACAACAAGAAGTTTATTCTCGAATTTGGAGTTTTGAGCAAATGTTGCAAGTGTTCACTTGGCAAGGTTCCTCTTTACTCTGACCCATGAGGGTGGGGAGGACTATGCTTTCTCGGTTGTGTCTTTTTTTCTTGTTTGCCACTGTGTTTCCATTTCTGCAAAATGCTTGCTTTGTGCGTGTTTGTGCGCGTATATAGGATCCAGAACTCCAATGCAAACATATACAATTCCCACCAGCTATATAGAATTTATTCTGAAAATTAAAATGGATGTATATCGAGAGAGAGAGAGGGAGAGAGAGAGAGTATACGTGGTTCAGAAATACAATACATTGGGACAAATACACATTATCGCTCTCCATATCTATATTATATGTGTCTGTATATACCAGGTATATGTGTGTATACTTTAAAATGCATAATCCAGACGTGCACTATGATAGCAAGATATATATATTCAGTCCTTTCAGGACAGAAATGTGGGCCTAATGGAGTCTAATTTGATTCGTTTTGTGATCCTGAAATTCTTTCTATAATAGCTGTCATTTTATCCTGAAAACAGGCCACGCTTTTACTCTCCTTAAATGAAAATCATCGGTGACTTCCCCTCTCCCAGCTCTTTGTCGTCACAGAGCAGATGGCCAATACTGCAAATATTAACTAGTTTAAGCTAAAAGGAACACATGCTTTATAACCTGTAGCGTAATTCCCTAAACGCCCCCTCTTTACATAACGCACAGTGCCTTGGGAGTAAAAAGACAAGGAGAGGGTCTGTCAGATTTTGTTCTGAGTACCACCATGTCAGCCCGAAAAAAACGCCTTCCGTTTGAACGGCTGTGTAGTGATGTCATTACGATCGGAATCGGGCCCTTGGGTTCCAGTGTAGGTATTTAGCTAGCGTGTTTTTTCTCTTCTCCAACAAAAAAAAAAAAAAAAAATTGAACCTGGTTGGGGCCCGATCCTGACGTTCCTCCTGGCTGTCAAGGCAGGATCAGGTTCTTTCTCACCATCTCTCGTGTTTGCTCAGCCAACTAAAATAATTTGGAGCCCGATCCCATAATCAGTCGCTTGAGCAACGTTTACTCACGAGTTTAAGGGCTTGCGGGATAAGGCGAGCAACAGAGCGGACGGTTGAAATAAAACTTCTGGACGGTGACCCGTTGACTAATAGATGCCCGGTAGTAACAACTCGCCCCTAATAAAATGCAGGCAAGCCAGGGAAATTGCAAGGGTTGGCAAGGAAATGTGACAACATGAAATACAGACTCCATGTGCCTATGGCGTGGGTAATGAATTCCGTGTCAGAAACCGCGTTCCCTATAACTGTTTATGTCAACAAATCCAATGGTGAATTAAAGACCCAGACGGGTTCCGTTGCTTTGCCGGCCTGCCTCTCAGTCCAGCACGCTGGAATTTCAAGGATCGGGATAATTTATAAGGTAGCATTTTTATGTTTGTTATTTATTGTTCCAATTATCGTTCACTTAACAAAAAGCAACCGGAACAGTTGCCAGCTCGCTGGTTTCTACTCATCGCACCTGCTTTGTGTCAGAAAATACTTCGAGAGCAATTTAACTTTGCATTAGAGTAACTCATTAAAGACACACCTCTTGCGAACGGGGCGGGGGCTTGCCTCGCATTTAATGACAGCGTTCTGATTTCCCAGACGTCTTGTAATTGATTCGGTTACAGATCTGCCCGCAGGGCAGCTCCCATTAGGCCGGTGATGAGCAAAGCTTGACACCTCCCTCTAATAAAACAGAATACTCAATTACATTGGCCTTTCTGGAGGCTTTAATTTGAACACGTGAATAGTGGGCGCAGGGTGAATTGCCCATTCCCCAGCTCGCTCTTAGGGAGTGTCACACGCCGTCTTTGCTTTGTCATAATAAGGGAGCACCCATGTTTTGGAGGCTTTTCCTTCAACACCCTTGTGTACTGCCATAAATCTGTAGCCCTTTTAAGGATCTCTCGTAACACACACAAAGCTTCGGTGCTCAAAGAGTATCCAGTGAAACGATTTAGACATAATCCCTGACACTGATGATTTATGCTGAAGGTTCAAAATACTGCTGCTTTATTTATAACCCTCCCAACCCAGTTAAAAAAACATTCAGGAACGTTTGGGGGCTGTGTAGGGCGCTGGGGGGAAGCTCCTGCAGTTAGAGAGAGAGAGAGAAGCGGTTGTCTCAAGTTTTTATGTGGCAGTAAATGCTAATTTGAAAAGTCTGCATTGGAGATTGTATTCCTCCAGCTTTATCCCTTGCACTGGGACGGGGGGAGGGGGAGGGCTAAGGCCTCGGGGTCTGATCCAAAGTCTACCGAATTCAATGCGAGGCGTTCCACTGAGATGTATAGATAAGACCCTTGATCCTGAAACCCTAATTCAGGTAAAACTCCCACTAGCTAGAGCGCGGGGTCCTGATTCCACCATCAGGATTTAGTATTATAATTTGGTTTCAGTGACATAATTTAGGCACCGAGGCATTTTAGACCTTTGTACCCTTCGTTTTGCAACCTAGGTCTTGGCCATTTCCTAGCAAGAGCCACGCTCCCTCACCTCCCACTGGCTCCAGTCCTAAATGCACTGAATGAGCCAGGGAGCCAAGAGCCACCAAGAAGGTTGTTTAAAACTTGTGGGGCTCTATTGTCCCATCCATATTCAAGATGAACTCTCTCTGCAACAAGAAAAGGAGGACGTGTGGCACCTTAGACACTAACCAATTTATTTGGGCATAAGCTTTCCTGAGCTACAGCTCACTTCATCGGATGCAGAGTCCTGCTTACAAAATGATGGGCTGGTATTTCCTAGCGTAAATAGTCGATTTCCTCAAAGGTGGAGAAGAGCTCTCAGGCCAGGACCAACGGAGAAACCCATCTGTCTACATTTTTAAAATTTTAAACAGTCATTGCTAGGTAATGGGCATGTCCCTGTCCTTTTCTTTTTAAGTAGAAAAGGAAATATATTGCTTCGGGTCCCAGTGCTCTCTATATTACCTATCGCGAATGCAGGATCGTTCCCTAGCCAAGGAGAAGAACAAATTCCAGGGCAAAATGCAGAATCATCACTGTGGAGGACAGGCCCTCCAAACTATCTCAGCTATTTAATATAACATTGTATTTTATCTTAGGAAAGACATAGGGTAGACAGGTTTCAGAGTGGTAGCCGTGTTAGTCTGTATCCGCAGAAAGAACGAAGAGTCCTTGTGGCACCTTAGAGACTAGCAAATGTATTTGAGCATAAGCTTTCCTGGGCTAAAGCCCACTTCATCAGATGCATGCAATCTCCATGTAATAATCTCCAGGACAGCGGAGCCAACTAGTCAATTTCAGGAACTAAGGGGTCACACACTACCTGTTCCGATGAAGTGAGAGGTGGATGCTCTGCTTACTTATGGGTGATCATTTCAGTGTAGATGGGGTAAATGCATTAAAATGTGTACTAGACTATTTCAACCCTTCCCTGATGTGTGTATCTTTTAGATCCCTTCAAACCCTCCCTATCACTGACTACAATGGGAGAATTGACTGGGTTGATGCTCATCTGCCCCTGGGTGGACATCTTTAGGAACTCTACTGGAGTCATAATTGAACAGAGATGCCAGTATGAGGGGAATGGGGACCAAGCGCTAACCAAAATGATCTAAATATTATGTAAAATGACTGTTGTAAAGAGCAGAAGCACATAGGAAGAGTTATTAAAAACAAGGGCAACTCACAGGTTAGGCTTTCCGTTGTGAATTTTTGGCTCTCAATTTCAACTCTGTGTGCTGCACATCTGGCTTTTTTTCACTTTAAGATTTATGGGGTGGGGGTGGGGAAAGCGAATAATAAAGGCAACCTAAAGAGGAGTTCTGATTACTTCTTTGATCATTACCCAGGACAGACAACCAGAGCGAAAAATTATCTTTAAATAACTCCAAACACTGACAAACCCAGACACAATTAAACAAGGTTGGTTTTTTTTTAATTTAATTCGAAAGAGATAAGAAATAATAAATCTTCAATAAAATATATAAAATTGTACAAGACATCCCTTTCAAAGGGACTTTAATATAATGGGAGTGGAGACAGGTGGGGGACTGAACTACAGTGGAAGACAACACATCCTGGAGTAGGTCAAAACTTTGTGGCTCTTTTTTTTTTTCTTCTCTCTCTTCACAACATGCTTTTAAAAAAATGCATCCAGGAGAAGTTCTGCCTTCAGCTAGCTGCATTCTCTATAGTAACTTTACCACAAAGTTTAGCGCTAGTAATAATAATAATAATAAAACAATAATGATTATAAGCCTGGGCTCTATCGTGCCATTGGTTTGTAAGCAGAACTCCCCCAGTGAAATCCAGGAAAGGAGATCAGTTTGCAGAGCAGTGGCATCCTATTGTCCCATATGTTTCTTTTTGGTACCTGAATCTATTGGTGTTTTCAAGAAATGCTTAAGTATGATTCACGATATTGGCATTCTTTACAAGGTGATTTTTTTTAAAAGCACAAATTATTGCAAATAAAAAAACAACTCTGCATTATGGTTTGATAGTCCTTGCACACTCTGGAAAAAAAAAAAGCCCACCTCTTTTCTCCATATGTCTATAGTATGCTTCCACCCCGCCCGCTTCGAATAGCATCATAGAACCAAGCGTACGTACACCTGGCTGTAGATGAAATTATTAAACACGCAAAGCAGGAAGGGATAAAGACAAAACTCTTTGCCTAGAGCCCTCTCTGTGCATCCCTCCTCCCCCACAGTGCTTTGAAAAAAATGTTTAAGCGAGTTCTACAAAAAAAAAAAAAAAAGGGGGGGGAAATAAATGATCCGATAATGGGGTGGGTAAAGTTATTATAGACTTTACTCATTTGGGGGCCCGATCCTGCGGTCCGGGTACGCTCTTTGTTGCTTTGGTGCAGGGTGGCCCCATTTGAAAATGCAGGAACTTGCTGCCTTTGGCCTCAGTCTGACTCTACTGGGGCTTACTTCCTATTTACAGTGATTCTCTGTCTTCTAGGGTTTGTTTTAAAAACAAAACTCGATAATACCTTTAACTGCCCAAATATTAAGTGACAAGACTTAAGCTTCAGTTTAGGGAAGGAACCACTCCTACTTTAAAACAGGTCTTGGGGCTCCTCTAGGAAGGGGATAAGGAAACTATGCCTTGAAAATACAGGATTTATTGTTTACCGATTCCTTTGTCTCATGTGCAGTATATAAAGAGAACTATATTTATTTAATTGTATATGTTTTTATATTTTTCTTTCAGGATCAGAGTCTGAGTGCTCAGATCAAGTTGAGAGGAGACCCTGGCTGCATTCCCAACCTGTAGCATACAGGCTGCTTTACTTTTCTAATGCAAACTCCTATACACTTGGCATGGCACATAGAAGACGGCAGAAACAATAACCAGAACTGGTTTTCTAGTGCGTTCTCGGATTGGACAAGATCCGCCAGGAAGTCTATAGAGCCGTTGCTTTCCTTTGGATCTTCTTAAGATAAGTGGTACATGCTATATCCGACAGGAGTAGCATAGAGTCCTACAGGTGGGATGGGAAGCACAGGTCTGTGAAAAGGATAAGATGGTCCATACAGTGAGGCCGCCTGGATGGGAGAGTTGATGGGGAAAGGTAGACTGAACCCAGAAGGCAGCATGGGCTTTGCTGCCATTTTTAGCTTCTCTAACTCGGCCTCCTGCAGTCTCTTGGCCTTGGCCCTCCGGTTCTGGAACCAGATTTTGACCTGGGTCTCTGTGAGGTTGAGAGAGCTGGAGAATTCTGCTCTTTCTGCGATGGACAGATATTGTTTCTGGCGGAATTTGCGCTCCAAAGCCAGCAGCTGGGAAGTGGTGAAAGGGGTTCTGGGCTTCCTATTAGTCTTGTGCTTCCTCAGTGTGCATGCTGTGGGACTCAGGTGTCCTGGAAGGAAAGAAAAGGCCAGTTAAAAAAAAAGAGGAGGAGGAGGAATGCTTAAGAAAAGAAAGGGGGAAGAAAACGAAGCTTGAAAGTATGTTTGGGATTTGTTTCATTCACACCCTCCTGGAGAGAACCCCCAAATCTGAAGTACTAAGAACATGACTTATAAGCAGTGCTTGAACTCATTGCTGTCTGGGTCCTGGGCTGTTTACACAGCACAAGTAGAGACATCCCGGCCCCATTTCACACAAGGCAGGTAGAGAATCCCCATTCCCCTATAAGCCTTTAGGTGACAAAAACAACAAAAAGTAAACAACATGTGAGGACATCAGGGGGTCAGACCACATAAATGCAGAGTACCGTGCAAATGTCTTAATAGCTTGGGTGAACAAGAATTCCTAGGACCCTCTGTGTACAACGAAGTGTAACGTGTTATAAAAGAAATACGTTCTGAGAAGTAAAATGTCTGGCAAGGGACAGAAATAAATCCACCATCATCACCACTCTCCAGGGATTTTTCCATTTGGAACAACATCTTGGGCCAAATCCTGCAGTCCTAGTAGGCGTTTTGCCGGAGAGCCATAGAATTGGATCTGATAATATTCTTTGTGTTTGCTGACACCTCTACCTGCCTCCACTGAAATCGGCGGCAGGGTGGGGGGAGGGGGAGGATCGGGCAGTTTTATTACCTTTTCTTTTAGATTATTCCCAGCCCCTCTCACTCTGCTCCCCTCATCCCCCCACCATAAAATGAAAGAGAAGCACAGGAAGGAAAGAACGCGAGCCCTTTTTCAACATGTAGCTTTTATGACATAGGCTAATTAAAAAACCCGTATAACTGCATCATCTCTGGCCAATACAAGGATGTGGAATTTGTTACCTATCGTGTTCCATTGTAATCCAGGCCACAGCATTTACATTGTTATGTTAAGGAGGATCACTGATTTTTCTTAGAAGACTTTGCATTTCAGTAGTAACCTTCTGGGTTGAAAAGAATGACTAAAATGTGAGCAAGTGGGAAACCTGGGACGCTTAATTGGCTTTAATTCGAAGTCTTGAACAGGCAGCTCATTCTTCAGTGCGATATCGAAAATGACAACCTGCCCTAAATGGCTGGTGCGTTCTAGACACGTTTTTGGCTCTATTTCATACACATTTGTCAGTATCCGTACACTCCATTTGTTAATATATTTTTCTTTTGCCTCTTTCAACTTTTTCAAAGGACGTTTTGAATTTTAAAATAGACTGGCCAACGAGTTTGAAATGCGTGTGTTGCAAAACAACCCCCAGAACGGTTCACCGTTTGAAAACGAAAAAGTAGAGCAAGGAAAGGATTGCCCAGAATAAAAGCAAACCTTAAATTCTTAATCCCTATTCTGTTTACTGAAGAGAAGAGTATTTTCTAATGCAAAACAACGTGTGGTTAATACATTGGGGGCGTTTTCATAACTATGCAGCCAGTGTGGGTATTTCGTGCAGTCCTAGAACTTCCTAAAACACAGTGAACATAGAATTGCTACGCTTTTAATACACTCCATTCTGCCGCATTTTAAAATGAAATTATGATTAGATGTTCCTATGAATTTGCTTCTCAGGAAAGATCTCCAAAGGCATGATTAGACGAGGGGCTTCAGACTTACGCCTTTTCCCTCCTTACAAAGCATGTGAAGACTAAAAAGGTAGATGGAGGGTTTATCTCGAAATTGCAAGCACAGAAAACGAGATAGTTTTATTCCACTGAAATCAAAAGCAAATCTTCAAATGACATCAGGAACTGGCCCAACAAGTCAAGATTTCTGACACGTGTGTGTGTGTGTGTGCGGGGAGACTTTTGACCTCGTGTAAGTACTTACTTTTGAATACAATCCCAATCAAAGGTTTACTGCCAAATACCTGCAAACTTGAACCTATGTATCTTTCACCATTTCGGCATCCTTTCAAATAAGGCCCCTGAGTGTAGAGCAGTGATAATAAACAGAGCACTAGAACACATCTCACTATCTTTACTGTGGACAGCATACAGTATTTGGTGAAATGGCTGATTTTAAAGGTATCACTTGTGCTTTTCACTAGATTTGCTGGCAAATCCTTGACACAGTCACCTGACTGCATAATCCTACCTGTGTCAAAGAAACCAACCATGTAGTTTAAGCTACTCCTCTCTGGTCCCACTGATCACTCCCTGGACCAAACATAACTTTTCAAATAACCTATTTTAAATGTCAAGAGTGTGCAGGATGATGATCTCTATCATCTCTTGTAAGAATCCAAACAAAGTCACTGACCTACACACAACCCTCTAAGACTTATCTAGTGTCGGAAGTCAACAGTTATTTGACAGGGATAATAGAGGAAGGGAACCCTCACTAATAAGGGTAGCAAGCTCCAATTTTCATGATGCCTTAAGCCTTCTTTTACCAAAACCTAGGACCAGACACCAGGACCCTCGTGCAGGCAAAATTTCCACCGAAATAGTGAATTCCGTGAAGAGCAATGAATACTTCTAAATCCCAGCATATACTTTCCGTGACATGTTAAAGTTGTAGAATGTTGTGATCTCTGGATTATTGGCAATTTTTAATAGAATTAGGAAAAAAGTGGGGAGCTCAGTGACCCTATGATCGTGGAAAAGAGATATGTGGAGTAGTGTCTAGGTAAAAATGTTTGGCCTTGTCTATTTCTAGGTCATAATGTGTTGGAAGCTGTGTGCTATAACTAGTAAAATATAGAAAGAACACCCCCCCCCCCAAAAAAAAGCGTTTGGTTTAGGGTATTTTCATACCCTTCCCTAGCAAACCTGGGGTACATCGAGATTGGGAGACTTTTCTGCACAAGAATGAAGCAAGATTATTAGGGTTTGTTTTTTTTGTTTTTTGTTTTGCCTTTTACACTGTTCTGTCTGTTGTCACACAATCTCTTCAGAACGTCCCAGACATCACATTAATTTGGGGGCTCAAAGAGAATTGAAGGAAGGAACATACACAGGTACTGGAAAAGTTAGCACCGTAGCTTTGCTAAAACTTTCTTTTCGTGATACTAGATTACAAACTGAACGCCTTCAAGATAGTTAGACTGAGCAGATCATATATGTCGGTGAAGCAGTTATTAGATCAAAGCAAAGCAGCCCTTTTTAATTTTTTAAACTCAAGCTCGACATGTCTTGATCGAGCTATTGTTACAGGTGCGTAACACCATTGGCTGCTCTCTGTGTGGGAAACTATGGAGCTGCATGGCCATTTAAAATATAGTTTTGTCATACTAGGTCAACCAGATTCCTGAAATTAAAAAGGGGCCGAAACACTGGCTCTTGAAAGGCGGGATGGGATCTAAGCGGGCTAGCTGCGAAGTTCAATGGCGAAATGCACGAGTGTCCACACCCGGTTGTGTAGCTACACATGGAATTCCGCTCTGAAGCACTCGCCCCACCCAAGGCAGCGGCATGCATGCTACTGGCGTGCATTACTCGCCTGTGGATCGTGGGCCATTGAATGGGGTGGAAACACCTCTAGTGAGAGGATCCCGCAGACATGACAGTGTCCTCCCCAGGTTCACACACGTTAGGGCAGGCACTTAGCGCAGCCAGCTCGGATGGGTTCATTCATGCGCACAGTGGAGGAGCCAGTATCCCCCATAACAACACTGGAATTCTCCTGGGAAGCGACGCTCGGTCCAGTGCAGTTTGCGACCTCATTCTAAAATCTCTCCTGACAAATGCGCGGTGTCTGGGAAACTGCTGCGGGACTCCGGCTCTTCACTTACACAGGGCCACACAGCGTCTAGCCAGCCACCCTCCATCCACATCTTACCGCTCAAAGACTCCTTCTTGGACGTGAAGGAATAGATTAAACCAGGAAGCAGCAGCCAGTTCCTAAAGGCAGAGTCAGCGCCCTCCCTGGAAGCTAGGCGGACACAGATCTGGTTTCATGCCCCAATACAGACCCTTCTCCCACGCGCACGACTCAGCCCCCAGACGCAGCATTTGTTAACTCGGACAGCCCCCATCTGTTCTATTTAGCCCCGCTCGTGTCAGAGCCCCAGCGCCGGGCAGCACTCACTTGGTGGAGGGGAATATCTCCCGGCCTCTTGAATCCAGGAGCTGCCGTCTTCGGAATTCTCCGATTTGACCGACGAGGTTTCCAAAGTTTTTGTAAGCCCCCCGGGGCTGTGAGCTTCACTGGAGCCGTGCCCTGGCAGCAGCAGGTTCCGGGAGGTGCCCAGGCCAGCTCCTTCCATGCCTCCCCCGCCGGGGGTGACGGGCACCTCTTTGGAGGGCTTTTTGTCGGACATGAGCGCTTCCACGCTGAAAGGCAAACTGGAGACTTTGATTTTGTGATGATCCTCGGCACCAGCTGCTGCGCCCTCTTCATCCGAGGAGAAAACCTCCTTCGTCTTGGAAGGAGAAGACATCGCTGCGCACCCCCGCAGATCCCTGTGCACTGCGCCTGGCACACACACACACAGACACACAGACACACACACAGCTCTGCTTGTGTGTCCCTCCGACTCCGTGCGGCTCCTGCTACTCACTGCTCAGGGACCCGCCAGCTCCAGCCACTCAGCAATTCCCCCTCCCCCCGCTTCTTTTTTTTTGGGTGCTCAGTTGTTGTTTCCTCCTTTGGGAAGTTGAGTCAACTCAGCTAGCCAATCAGAGCAGCCCTGGGGGATGACGTCAAGGTAACACTCTTGTGATTGGTTCTGAGTGGCTTCTTCCCCCCCCCCCCGCCCTTTCAAAAAAATAAATGGGGAGTTAATGACATGGGCAGCAAACGGAGCTGTGTTATTAAGGAGCCTTCCAGGGCTATAATCATGCCAAAGCAGGAAAAGTCAGTTGGGTAATTAAGGCAGGTTAATTTAAGAGGATTCTAAGATTCCAGATTTTTCTCTTTTAAGCCCCCCTCCCTCCTTTTAAACACTCATTTTCTCTAGCTTGTGGCATAACCGTCACCCACGTCCAATCCCATCCCAGGCGTTTGTGCCTGACACGGAAACATGTGACATCTGAACCCCGACAGTCACCGCCGCTTTCACCTGTGGCTCGGGCAGGGCACCAGCGATCCTCGTCTTATTGGTGAATTTCTGCTATGTAGTCTTTTGTCAAAACGCACCCACGAGACTACGGTAAATTGCACGTGCCTCACCCCTTTTCTGCTGCTCCGCCAGCGCCTCCGAACCCTTCCCAACACGCTTTGGAAAGTTAAAAGAATAATTTGATTTGCAAATACACGCAGTTCCGTTCGGATCCAATGCCAGTGCGGTCCGAAGGGGTAACCATTTGTGCAGCGTTCCCGTACCTCAGAGGGGAGAATTCCGTATAGTTGGCAAGAACAAATACATCAATATATGATCTTTACAGCTGGAATATTTTTTTCACTACAAATGCACTTTTGCTCTATTTCTTAGTGCAAAGACACATGCCAGTTAAAACCTCCCTACGAAGGTGGGATTTTTAACGATTATTTTGCGCACATAAATGGCACACGCACAATAATGAGGACTAAATATGGTTCTAATAAGCATGGGACCTGATTCTGCAGTCCTCCGTTTGCAAACATACTGACGTAGTTTTACGGGGGGCGGGGGTGATTCTCCCTCTTTTTGGCTCCTTTCGTGTGAATAAGGGTGTGTTAATTAAAAGCATTTATTTTAATCGCCTTGTGGATAAAAGCAAATACATTTTCTTCACAACGAGTGTAATTTCATCATGGTAATTATTTAATTACATGCTGGGAACTATTGCTATTAAAACGCTCAGAGAAAAATAAAGCTGAAAATGTAGGCGAGGGCAGTTAAACCTAACACAAACCCTGCAAAAGTTAGGAGTCTGACTGTATTTATTTATATATTTGGTGGTTGATTCCGCCGAGACTTCCACTGACTGCAGAAGGAGCATAGGAGTAGGGGTGGGATACAGGATCGGGACCTGCCAAAGCAAAACTATATTGCAAAGTTGTTGTTTTAAAGGGTGGTTTTATTTTTGACACTAACTGGTTAGTAGTATTAGTTCTATGGACCCATTGCCTCTCAATAGTTTGAGAGCTTTTATCCCGGTCTTATTAATATCCCAGACTGTTACAACCACTTGGTCTTGACCTTGGTTTCTTGCGCCTATGTACTGTGTATCTCGTGTTCGTCTTTAGGAGAGAGCACTCTTCTTTGAGCGGTATCCCGGGCTTGATCCTGTAGCTGTTAATCAGGCAAGAGGCGTTTTGCTTGGGTAAGGACAGCAAAAGATTATGCCCCTGGCCTAGATTAGCTCTCTTCTCTGTCTCCCAGTTAGGGGCTACCATTTCTCAGAAAGGGAGTAGAATAGAACGTTTAAAATGAAACTAAACTCAAGTTATTTAAAGGGCCATATAGTAAAAAACCAGGTCCCCTTGGGTTAAAAATAGCAAAATGGTAGGAAATATCCCTAGTATGCCACTTCGGATATTCTAGCCCATTAGCCACCTTTTCAGCTCTCGAGACAGGAGCTGTTAATCCTTCCCCTAAAGTCCGGCCAGCATCTATAAAATATACAGGGTATTCAGATCGATTGAGTAGCAATACATACAGTCTTTCCTCTACACACAATCCTCATCGGCACCTCTTCAACAAAGATCTAGTTTATAAGAACAAAATCAGGATGTTTCGCATTAAGCCATAAACAGTTTCAGCAACTATTAAAAGAGGCAGAACACTGAGGAAGCTTTCAGATGCATTAATAATAGGTTGGAATTATTATTTTTTTTCCCACTTCAGTAAATAGCACATATGATCCATGGTCATTTTCTCATTAAGTTAAACCACAGGTTACACAGTGTGTAGAGAATGGGTTGGAGAGCAATTTAAATTACATACTGTGACTTCCTATTTATGGTCTTGCAAACCATCCTGCTGCAGTTCGTCTACTTCGTATCTCCTCTTGCCCCCCCCCCCCCCCCCGCTCACTGCATCATGACAAGTAAATGAGAATTAATGAAAATAATGAAACAATGTGTGTCTAGGGAACAATGAAGCGCCGGTGTAAACCATTGTCGAGTGGCTTAAATGCTACAGATAATTACACCGTATTCACAAAGTCAATGCACCTTCTAACTATCCATAAAGAAAGAATGCTGGCTGGGGGGTAGGTCAGGGTGACACTGTTTCAAGAATCGAGTACACTGGGTGTATTTCTTCATCTGGACAGAATATTCTATTCGAATTCCTTTCACTGCTGCATTGCTGTGGCCCGTACTTTATATCACAAGCGTGGTTGTATGTGTGTGTTTGGTGTGCATTATCTGGATTGTATCCCCTTTGGGGCAGCAAACATGCCTTTATAGGCGTTTGGATAGCACACTGCACATTTAAGGCTTGTTTACATAAATGTCTCACAACAACAATTGGGTCGGTTGCTGCTATTCGAGCGTAACTTTTGGTGTGAATGATATTCGTTACCCATTTAGTACCACCTTGGGTTAGCAAAGCCTTCCTGAACCCATCCCCGATGTTCTGCGAAGGTATCTGTTACTGTCAAATAGTCTGGCTGGATAATTCGAAGCCTATGGTTGTTCGCTAACTGTTAGTTTAGACATTTCTTTATTTGTCTGATTGTTTATTTCAATCACGGAGATTCGTTTCTGCAACCCGACTAGACGCCCGCATCTCTAAAGATAGGAGAAGAGGATGACTAACTTCCTAGGACAGAATTTTGGATGAATAAATACCCGCACTAGAATCTGGGATTTGCGAACATTTTCAGGAATGCTAGGTGGCTGTCCAGCTCCTGGTGAAAATATGGAAAATACAGCCACAGGAGCCACTGCGAACCCAAATAAACTTCTCTTTCATTCCGGAAAATAATCACAAGTCCGTTTATTTGACTATTCGCCCAGGTCTCTCTGGGATCAAAGAGACCCGACAACCTGTCTCAGCTGCATAATTTCCTTTACCCAGAGACACACGTCACATCTCCTGATCCCTAAGCAAATGTCACGAACCTTTGCTCTAGAAAGGAGACTGGGGGAGGAGAGGGGGGGGCCCGCTAAACCCCTGCTTGTGCCTTAAGGGCTCTGGGGCTGCCTTTGACTTGGCGTACCCCCACCCAGGTGTCCGAAAGCCTGGACTCGGAGATCCCAGAAAAGGACAGGGACCCTGCCAAGGTCAGGGGCACCTTCCTACTCCAAGTTTGCGGGGTGGGGATGGACCGGAGAGTTCTGGAGGGGAGGCTGGGAACGAGCACTCGTTAGACACACAGCAACAACCCCACGGGCTTGGCCCCGGCTGAGCAGTCTGGGGCTTAACATAACCTGTACCCACTCTCCGACACGCAGGTTCAGCTCTCCCCTCTCATCGCTTATTATCCTGCACCAGCCGGGAAGGGTGTGCCTGGGCCCTGGGACTCAGCCTCGAGAGTGGGGCAGGGAGGGGGAGACTTGGGGGGGGGGGGGAGAGAGACGTTGCAGACAAACTGAGGCTGTTTGAAGGCGCCAGGAGCGGGGAGATGAAAGGGAAGCTCCTGGGGGAAGTGCTGTGCAGTTTGACCGGCTCCAGCAGTAACAGCAGCGACTGCCTGTCCCAGGCAGACCCGCCCCGCCAGCCCCCCGCCTACCCTGGGGCAGCTGCCTGGCCACTGATCTTGCCTTGGTATCTGTTGTTCCGGCCAGGGGAGAGGAGGAGGAATCCAGCAGCAGCCTAGGATCGAGAACATCGTAATTACTGTGCCAATATTGTCATCAGCCTTATTAAGAACAAGAACATCAGTGACACTAATTATTTTATTATTGTCCTGAACGATAACTAATGAGAAATATGTGAACGCCCAGTTCCTCCGCCAAACTCAGATTTCCCCGTCATGCCACTAAATTTTTGGCAGTACCGGGCCCGATTCTGATCTGGTGTAAATCATGAAAAACTCCATCCACACCGCTGGAGCTAGAGTAGTGGAAGGGGGTGGGAGGATAGAATCCGGCCCCGTTTGTGTTCCATGAAGTCGGGTTTCCTCTTTGTACAGCAGTTAATCAGTCATGAAAACAGTCATTGCATTAATAATCACTTAGGTCTAGGACATTTGCGAACGAAGTCAAGCTAATGTAATTTACAAGCAGTTTGTTTGCATTTATTGTGAAAGGACTGAACGCTTCTGCTACGTTGTTAACCCCCCCCCCCCCAACTCCAGCACACAAAAATCCCCCCTTTCAGATATTTTGAATATATCTCATTACAGAGATAGACTTTTAAAACAAGGCATTGTGCAGCTGGCAGGAGGGAAAAAAATTGAGGGAACACTGCCCTTTCAAAAAAAATTTTTTTAAAGAGGCTAAAGCATCAACTCTGATGGGAAATACAGGTACTAAAATGGGCTCAGACTTGCACACGGTGGAAACGTTACCTCCAATTTAGCTGTATGCAGCTGCAAGCCTTTAATTTGTTAGATGTCTGAGATCTTCCTCGTATCATCACTCTTGCCAAGGGAGAACTGGAGCCAGCAGGAAGGAGTCTGAATTCTAGCTCATCTGCCTTTATCTTCAGACACCGAAAAAGGAACGAAAAACATCACAGCGTCAGAGCTGGTTACCAACACAGCATCCTATAGA